CCCCCCCCCCCCCCCCCAATAAAAACCCTGTTCCGCCGGCACTGTACGCACGCGCTGCCCATTGCTAGGATTGCAGCAACATGACCATCGCGTGGGAATGATAAATGACCTGAAATGAAATCGTTTGGTGAAAAATTTATTTCACAAGCTAGCTCATTCGGCTTTGTTTTCATACTTGCTCAAAATGGGTCTGTGTTAAGTTAAGTAAGCTCAGTGTTAAGTTTTTCATTCGTTCTCTTCGGAGTTCGTCTTATTTATTCGTTCTCTTCGGAGTTCGTCTTATTCACGGTCGCTTCGGAGTCCGTTTCAATCTCTTCGGAGTCTGATTTACTTCTCACTGGTCACTTCGGTGTCCTTTGGGATTTAGCACTGTGCGCTTGCGTACTGTTGTTTTGCGCCCCAGAGGTTGGTAGCCCTAGTTTGGCCTGCAGTTCTGCCCTGTAGGACGTGGGCGATCTCTGGATGTTTTTACCTGCTGCTCATTGCACTTTCCCACCTGGGATTGAGTTAGTAGGCTTTAAACATAAAACTTGCTCAAAATGGCTAAATTTGTCGGATACAATAATTGAGTGTGTGCATGTTCCTGTGCAACTAGGTTATTCATCCCATTTTTTGGTGTAGACCATCACAAATTCAGTTTACTCAAAACTGCATAATCTCATCTGAAAGGCCTTATTAAGCTCTAGTACTTTTGAATGCAAATAGATAAACATGCATGGATTATTAAAAATGACCGAAAAGTTCACTCTTATATGAACGGAGATTTATTCCCGAAATTACTGGCTTACCGGCTTACGGGTTGTCTACTGTAATTGTTTACAGGTGTCTATAGGCCGCTATACTGCCCTAACGCCGTTGTGTGTGATAGTTATCTCTCGAACCACTTAGGGGCCGATTACATGGAAAACTTTCAACCCCGGGGTTGAACTCAGTCCTGTTAACTGGGTTGAAATTTTTTGCGATTACATGGACGATTTCAACCCCGGGGTTGAAACGCTATACTATACGTTCTCGGCATCGATTCCCGGAAGTAAAAAAGCCTTTATTTTGTTTTGTTGTAACAAATAGTCACTACCACGTATGCTCGAATAAGTCATGATAATTTCAGCGCTGGGTTGAAACGATTACATGACAAAATTTTCAATCCAGGGCTGAAGGTCAACCCCGGGGTTGATATTTCAACCCTGCTAGCTGAAGCAGGGTTGAAATTTCAACCCCGGGGTTGAACTCAGCCCTGGGTTGAAAATTTTGTCATGTAATCGCGCGTTTGATTTTGATAGAGTTTTGTATTACAGACAGGGCTGAAATTTCAACCCGGTAAACAGGGCTGAGTTCAACCCCGGGGTTGAAAATGCTCCATGTAATCGGCCCCTTAATCCCGATCTTTTGAAAAAAATTGCTATACCTTGAAACGTACATATTCCTTTGTTTATGAAATACCATTGCCTGGCGTACAACTATAAGTCTTTAATTCACTGTCGTTAATACTACCAAATAAAGAGTAAGAAAAGTAATTGCTCACAAGTGTCTTGGAAACTTTAGAAAGCAAAACTTGCTGTGCCAGAATGGTAATAACGACATCCCATATACGGGTTTTCGCGCACTTAGATGGCGAACGCTATAAATACTGATTAATGTCAAGATCACTGGTGTCATGTAGAGGCTTTATTGTGCTAACGACAGAGAGGTTCATATGTGACTTCGATCCACTACAAGTACCATTTACAAATCGGATGAGCTTAATCTATTCGATTAACCAATCAGATGCGTATTGAGCCAGTCTGAACTTCTATTATGCAAACAAAACTTTCTTGACTTTCCAACCCGAATTAAGGTTACAGGACACCTTTTTTGGCGTTTTGCGGAAAATCGCTACTGCGCGC